GTCACGCCAAAATTTTTTCGTCATCACCCGGTGATGAAAAATGTGGGCAACAACTGGGAACATCGTTTTACATCGTTTGCAACTAAAAGCAGCCTTCTAATTTCATTGGTTCGAGAGATATGAGCATGCAACGTTTAACTACGCAAAAAACGGCCGTATTCAAATTCTGCACAGGTGCTGCGTTACACCTGTTTTGACGCATAGTTGCCCTCCCGTGCTTTGGTGTGACATAAGCTGTCCATTGCGGACAGGTTTTCAGTCTGGTACAACCAACGTGAAATTATGTTGAAAAAATGGGCATCTCGTGCAAAACGCGTCAACCGGCACAGAACATGCATCCGCGTCCTAGTCGCGCTGTATTTGCTATTGACCCTCATTTGGGACAAAAAAAAGCATCCGTTTCTGAATTTGAACTTTTTTCGCAAAAAAGTGGCCGAGGGGAGATTTGTGTTCACTTGGCTGTTGACAACAACGCTACGGAATATTTGTTGCATCATCGTGTATCGTTTGCACGGGCTGCTTTTAAACGGAGAGGGTCTCAGAAACAAAACCGTGGAAATTTGCGTGCATCAAGAATGCTGCATATTTCAAGTGGTGGAAACTTATTCTATTATAAGTTATTAGACGCGGAATCGCACGGCGAACACGATGGTGTAACTTAAAATATTAAACAGTGTATAGTTTTGGGGTTATTTAAAAAACACTCACATGCCGCGCTTGATGCAAATTTAGCAAGTGCTGTAGAAAATCTTTACATGCACAGAAACACTTGCCGCATCATCCACACACTAAATGAACCATGCCCTTTCATTCTGTAACAAAACACTGCGCTTGGCATATTTTTATTGTTCGAAAAAATGTTCATGCCCAATTTTTTTTCTTCATCACCCGATGATCATAAGTGTAGGCAACAACTCGTAACATCGTTTTACATCTTTTGGCAAAATTGCAGCCTTCTATTGTCATTGCTTCGACAGATATGAGCTTGAAACATTTTACTACCCCAAAAACGGCCGTTTTCAAAAAGTGCACAGGTGTTGCGTTACACCTGTGTTGACACAGAATTGCCTTCCCGTGCTATCGTGTGACATAAACTGTCCAATGCCGATAGGTTTTCAGATAGGTAAAACCAACGTGAAATTATGTTGAAAAATTGCCACCTCATACACAACGCGTCAACCTTCATAGAACATGCATTCGCTTCCTACGCGCGCTGAATTTGTTATTGGCCATCATTTGAGACGAAAAAAAGCATCCGTTTCTGATTGGGAAAGCAAAGTGGCCGCGGCGAGATTTGTGTTCATTTGCATGTTGACAACAACGCCACTGAATGATAATTCCATCATTGTGTATGGTTTGCACGGGCAATCTGCTTTCAAACGGAGCGGGTCTCAGAAACAAAGCCATGTAAATTTCCGCGCATGAAGAATGCTGCATGTTTCAAGTGTTCCAAATTATTGTATTATAGGTCCATAGACGCGCAACACTCAGCGAACGCGGTAGTGTAACTTAAAAAATAAACACGTGTATAGTGTTTGAGTTCTATAAAAAACACTCAAAAGCCGCGCTTGATGCAGATTTTACAAGTTCTTCAGAAACTGTTTACATGCACAGAAACATTTACCGCTTCATCCACAAAACAAATGGACCATGCCCTCTCATCCTGTAAGGGAAAAATCGCGTTCGAAAAATTTCACTTTTTTCCAATAATGGTCACACTCAAATTATTTCAATACCCGGTGATCAAAAATGCTGTCAACAACTGATAAGATAGTTTTACATCATTTGCAAAAAAGCAGTCTTCTATTTTCATTGTTTCGAGAGACATGAGCTTGGAACGTTTCACTACCCAAAAACGGCCATTTTCAAATGCTGCACATGTGTTGTCTTAAACCTGTTTTGACGCAGAATTGCCTTCCCGCGCTATCGTGTGACATAAACTGTCCAGTGCTGATAGGTTTTTATTTAGGTACCACCAACGTGAAATCATGTTGAAAGATGGCCATCTCGTGCAAAACGCGTCAACCGGCTTAGAACATGCATCCGCTTCCTACGCGCGCTGAATTTGCTATTGGCCATCATTTGAGACGAAAAAACATCCTTTTCTGATTCGCAAAAAAGTGGCCGCGGAAAGAGTTGTGTTCACATGGATGTTGACAACAACGCCACGGAATGTTTTTTCCATCATTGTGCATCATTTCCACGGGCAATCTGCTTTCAAACGGAGCCGGTCTCAGAAACAAAACAATGGAAAGTTGCGCACGACAAGCATGCTGCATGTTTCAAGTGGTGGAAACCTATTGCATGATAGGTCATTAGACGCGGAATCCCACAGCAAACAAAATGGTGCAACTTAAAAAACTTAACACGTGTATAGTTCTTGAGTTATTTGAAAAACCACTCACAAGCCGCGCTTGATGCAGATTTTCCAATAGCTGTAGAAACCGTTTGCATGCACAGAAACACTTGTCGCTTCATTCACACACTAAACGGACCATGCCCTTTCATTGTACAAGAAAAAAATCGGGTTTAAATATTTCCATCTTATTCGAAGAAAGTGTCACGCCCAAATTTGTTCGTCATCACCCGGCTATCAAAAATGTGATAACGAACTGGTAACATCGTTTTACATCGTTTGCACAATAGCAGCCTTTTATTTTCAGTTGTCCGAGAGATATGAGCTTGGAACGTTTTACAACCCAAAGAACGCCCGTTTTCAAATTCTGCACAGGTTTTGCGTTACGCCTGGTTAGACGCACAGGTGCCTTCCTGTGTTGTCGTGTGACATGAACTGTCCAATGCCGATAGGTTTTCAGTTGGTTACAACCAACGTGAAATTATATTAAGAAATGGCAATCCCGTGCAAATCGCGTCAGCCGGCACAGAACATGCATCCGCTTCCTACTCGCGCTGAAATTGCTATTGACTCTAATCTGAGCCAAAAAAACATCTGTTTCTCAATTTGTCCTTTTTCGAAACAAGGTGGCGGTGGCGAGATTTGTGTTCAATGGGATGTTGACAACAACGTCACTGAATGCTTTTTCATCACTGTGTATCGTCTGCACGTGCAATCTGCTTTCAAAACGGAGCTAGTCTCAGAAACCAACATGCAAGTGACCACAAATTGTGCCGCGCCCACTTTCTTGGAAAAAAATCATAATTCAGAAGCAGACATTTTTTCGTCTGAATGAGAGCCAATACCAAATTCAGCGCGAGTTCAAAGCGGATGCATGCTCTGTGCCCGTTGACGTGTTTTGCACGAGATGGCCATTTTCAACAAAATTTCACGTTGTTTGTACCTAACTGAAAACTTATCGGCACTGGACAGTTTATGTCACACCATAACACGGGATGGCGATTGTGGGTCAAAACAGCTGTAACACGACACCTGTGCAGAATTGCGCCGCTGCCGACCCAGCCGCCCTCCAGCGGCTCGTCGGCAGCGCGCCAGCACCGGCGGCCGCGGCGCCCGGCCCAGCCGCGGCCGGGGGCATCGGTGAGCCGCCGCAGGTGCAGCCCCGCCCGGTCTCCCGCACCACCCAGTGGCGTCGCCGGCGAGGTGCTGCCGCGGCGGCCGCCGCTGCCGCCGGTGATGCGCCGCCGCCGCCCCTGCCCCGTCGGCGTAATGTTTACCGCTGCAGGGTGTGTGGGCGGCCCATGACCGACGCCGGTCATACACAGTTCCGCGGCCAGCGGTTCTGCCCGCACAACCCCCTGCAGCGACTGTCGGCGGCCGAATGGCTGGCCGAGCGGTGGGCGGAGGCGGCGCGTAAAGGCGGAAAGTAGTGTTTTTTTGTGTTTTATCATGACTGCCAAACACTTTCCCCAAAATGAAGTTGGCGAAGTCGAATGTTGGTCTTTTTGTTGACATCACTGCAGTGTCCAGCGTGCCATGACGCACGGAAGCACAGTTTAAATGGCAATGTCATTGCTACATCAGCAAATGTTGGTACTTGGTGTACGCACTGATCGTTCACGCCTTCATCGCGCCCGGCACGTGAACGCCCTCTTGTCGGCCGGCTGACGGCTGCGTTGCGTCGGCACCGTTTACCGGCCGACGCAGCCAGCCGCCTGCCGGCGGCGGTCTGAAACTCGCCTCTTTTCTCCTCCCCTTCCCCATCTTTTCCCCCGCCACGAGGAACTTTATCCTCCAATCGCTGTGACGTCTGGAGGATAAAGTTCCCCGTCGCGGGGGAAAAGATGGGGAAGGGGAGGGGGGGGGGAAACAGGCGAGTTCCAGACCGCGCCGGCAGGCGGCGGGCTGCGTCGGCCGGTAGACGGCGCTGACGCAACGCAGCCGTCAGCCGGCTGACAAGAGGGCGTTTACGCGCCGGGCGCGATGAAGGCGTGAACGATCAGTGCGTACACCAAGTACCAACATTTGCTGATTCATGGCCAACACTGCAGTGATGTCAACAAAAAGGCCAACATTCGACTTCGCCAAATGTATTTTGGCAAACGTTTCTGGGCAAACTTATGACAAAACACATACATCACTTCCCGCCTTTGCGCGACGCCTCCGCCCGCCGCTCCGCCAGCCATTCGGCCGCCGTCAGCCGCTGCAGGGGGTTGTGCGGGCAGAACCGCTGCCCGCGAAACTGTGTGTGACCGGCGTTGGTCATGGGCCGCCCACACACCCTGCAGCGGTAGACATTGCGCTGGCGGGGCGGAGGAGGCGGCGGCGGCGCATCACCGGCGGCAACGGCGGCCGCCGCGGTAGCCCCGCGCCGGCGACGCCACTGGGGGGTGCAGGAAACCGGGCGGGGCTGCACCTGCGGTGGCGCACCGATGCCCCCGGCCGCTGCTGGGCCGGGCGCCGCGGCCGCCGGTGCTGGCGCGGCGCTGACGAGCCGCTGGAGGGCGGCTAGGTCGGCAGCGGCGCCTAGGAGGCGCTGGAGGGCGGCTGCGTCACCGGCAACGTACGGCAGCACCACGACAACTGGCGGTGCTGTCGGCGCGGCAGGAGGTGGCGGCGCCGGCGAGCTGGCCGGGCGGCGCACCGACGCCTCGCCAACGGTGTCGGCTGGCTCCGGCAGCTGCACGGCCGGATGCTGGCGTGGGGGAGGCGTGACCGGACGCGTCGCTGCTGCGGGTAGGTGTCCTGCCGCCAAGGGTCGCTCGGCAGGCAGGTCCCGGCCCTGCAGCAGCGTGCGGACCTCGTCCAGACGCGTCCGGTCCTTGAACCTGCCAAAGACGACGAACAGCGCGTCACTCACATGAGTTGCGTCAGGATGCGTGCGGCCTTTGTGCCTTCGACAAACGACAGAGCATCAACCAATCAATCACTCTCAGGTGGCAAGACGGCAGATATTAGGCACAGTCACTGGCGTTGTCAGGAGGACGCGAGCTGGTATCACTTGAAAAAAACACACTCGCGCCAGGTACTCACCACTTGCCGAGCGTGCTCTCGTTGAGAGGGTACAGCTGGATGCCGGTACCCTCCAGGAGCGCTCGGCTGTTGTGCAGCCTCCCCCGCACCCGGTCGTACGCCGCCAGGATAAGCCGCCGGCGCGACACCTGGCGAGGCTGGTTGGCGGTGGGCCGCCGCGGTCCCGGGTACTCCTGGAGCAGGCGCAGACAAAGCGCCTCCACCAGACGTGACCGGGACGGTGGCAGAGCCCGGCCTCCCGACATGCGCCGAGGCACAGCCGGGAACTGGAGCGGGCGCCTGTCAACGTCGTGCTGGGCCAGCCAGAGTTGGCGGATGCGTGCCGCCTGGCTGGCCGTCACCGACAGGCCCTTCAGCTCCAGCAGAGCCTCGGCCAGCCGGTCCACCCTGTCCCAGCCGGGGACGCCGCGGTGGTCCACCGCCGAGTCGACATCCGCCTGAGGAGCGGGCATAGTTGTCAAGGTCAGGCACGCGGCGCCGACAGCCATCGGCAAACGAGCTGGAGCGCGCGAAGATGTGCCGACAGGAACGCGTGCAGACGGGCGCCGGAGGTCACTGAGACGAAGCACTGGCATGCCGTACCTGCACGGCACCTTCGCCGTCGGAGTCGCCCGAGCTGTCGGAGGTGGCGTCGTCCAGGTCGGCGGGCCGGGCGACGGTGGCCACCTCCACGCCGGCCAGCGACGTGTCGGAAAGGGCGGGCTCCTCACAGCCTTCGTCGACGTCCTCGCAGGCGTCGTTGAGGGCCCGCTCTGCCTCGTCTGACCCGTCGTCGGCCGGCAGCACGGGCCCGGACTGCGCGTGCAGGTATTCGACCCCGATGCGCTCACCTGCGAAATGGGACATCGTTATCGCACGTGTGGCAAGCACAGACGGGACGGAGCCGTGGGTGATGCGACATCCTGGCAGTGGCATAAAGCCCACCTGGCCGTGCTTGCTCCTTTCTCACCTGTGTACTCGCCAGGTGGCCGGTACCGGGGGAACACCTGTCGCAGTCCGAGGCCCGTACACAGCTCGGTGACACGGTGCTGCAGGCGCACGTCGGACGTCCGCAGCTGCTGCGCACCGCCGTCTCCCTCGAGGGCGTCCGCCGCCCTCGCCGCGTTCCAGCGCACCAGGCCGTCCACCAGGTACGCCTGGAAGTGGACGGCGTTGGCCGACGTGCCTGCAACAAAACCAAGTACCCATGTGTGGAACGCCACCAAGAAGCGGACCGTCACACAACGTTGTGAACAGGCGCACGACCACACCATACGGCTGACGACACTGACATGCTGCAGAGGACCAGCCATCTCACCTGGGATGAAGCGGGCCAGGTGCAGGTGGAAGCTCTCGAGGGAGGTCGTGCCGCGTGCGCACCGGTACACCGGCAGGCGGACGCCGCCCTTCTGCAGGCACCCGGTCTGGGTGTAGAGAGTTACACCCTCCGGATCCTGAAGGCAGGCGACGTGGCTCCTCTGCTCTTGCCAGATGGCCTGGATCTCCGGCTTGAGCAGGGGCACCCCGCGCGTGTCGGTGGCGGTGGCCAGCTCCAGGAGGAGCTGCTCGATGAGCTGCGCCGACCGCAGAGCGCCCTGGGTGCGGCGCCGGCAGTGGCGAGCGAGCTCCTCCCTGCTGACCGCCTGCCGCACGGCCTCCTCCGGTGGCTCCTCCACGCCGCCAGCCACCAGCTCGGCCCGCTTGGCGGCGTGCAGGCGGGCGACGTCGCCGGCGTCCCACTCGAAGAGGCACGCCGACAGCCGGGACATGAACGTGCCGTACAGCGGATGGCACTCGCTGGTGACGCCGAGGGCGAAGCGCCGTATGAAGTGCCGGACGTCCAGACGGACGATCAGGCCACTCCACGCGGCAAACAAGCCCTGGAGGCGAGACTTGTCGCCCCCGGCGCTGCAGCAGTCCCGGTCCGTGTACAGCACGGTCGGGTCCGGCTCGCCGGCGCGCCGGTAGCGGGACGCCAGGCCGTCAGCCATGTGCTGCAGTGTGTCGGCCGCCTCCGACGTGGTGAGGACACACTGCAGCACCTCGCCCCTCTCGTTCCCCACGCTGGTGACCCAGCTGGCGGTGCCGGCAGCGTCTCCCCGGAGCCTCAACGTCACCTGGCGACACGCACGGCACGCTTACACACACAAACACACACACACACACACACACACACACAACACACACACACACACACACACACACACACACACACACACACACACACACACACACACACACACACACACACACACACACATTGCAGACTGGCCGTCACATACAGGTCACACCGCGTGGAAAGAACCCGAAAGGCCTGGCACGTGACACAAGCCGCTGTCTTACCTTCTTCGTCGAGTCAATCTTCAGGATCGACCCGTACGTAGAGGTGACGGAGGCTCGAAGGACGGGGAGACGTTGCCACACGTCCCTGACGTGGCACGCCAGGAACCACCCTGGCTGGGGCGGGGCGCGGAAGGCGGGCGGCTCGGCGTACGCCACCGCCGGCTGATGCATGGCCTCCCGGCCGAGCCTGCCGAGCAAGCAGAGTTAACAGGTTAAACACGGCATCAAACACTAACAGCAGCTGACAAACATCGCTGACATGCACTTTGCTCACCACTGGACCACCAGCGACATAGCGCGCACCAAACGGCCGGCACCCCACGCCGAGCGGGTACTTGACAAGAATCACACTTACTTGTGGCGCTGGCAGTCCGCCAGGTAGGCCAGCAGGCGCAGCGACCACTCCTGACTGTGGACCTCAGCCACGTTCTGCCGCCACGCCGTCGGACTGTTCCCCAGGGTGCGGGCCCGCAGCATGGTGATGACGGCTCGGTCACATGCGAGTTTGTGCGTCAACACCGCTGGGAACCGCCCCCGGAGCCCGTCCGACAGCTGTTTCAGCAGCCGGGCGTCGTAGGCGATGTAGGTGCCTACGCACGCCGGGCAGTAGTGGTACTCAACCGCCAGGTAGTACCAGTCTGAGGCGTCGACCACATGGCGAACCTTGTGGTAGACGCCCTTCGACCGGAGCGACCTGGAGAGCACAGAGTGACCGTGTCATTCGTGTCCGACGGAGCTGCGGCAAACAGGCACACACGCATGCGGCGCAAACATCTGCCACAATACCCAAAGCCGGCGACTGCACACATTATCCACCACTGAAAGAGTACGACTGGCAGATGGCTTTGTCTCGCAACGCCCCCTATGTTGCAAGCCGCTTAACTGACGGGTGAGCACCGAGGACACTTGAGGTCCACATGCCACATCTTCCTGGGCATCCACAGGAAGAGGCGGCGCGTAAGGCAGCCACCAGGAGTGGGCTGGGTGCGGCACGGCGGCGCGCTGCTGGCCGGCGGATGGTGCCACAGCTCGGCGGTCGGGCGCAGCACGTGGGGTGCCGTAAACAGGCGCTCGCCGATCCAGGCCTGGTCGGCGAGCGCGACACCCTGCCGCCAACCGGTCGGCAGGTTGTCCTCCGGACAGCGCGAGAACAGGAGCTGCGGCTGGGGCTCGGCTGTGATGGTCTCCACCTGCCGGAAAGGTTCATCGTTGAGTACGTGTACACGCGTGCGCGGTGCTCGTATACACAAGGTGACAACAACAATACAGGCCCAGTCATATCTCCATGGCAATACTTACCAGAGCCGCAGGCAGCTGCTGAGCGACCTGTCCGGAGGACGCTGCTCCAGCCGGCGCGGCGGCACTGGGGCCGGCGGCACTGGGGCCGGCGGCGCTGGGGTCGGTGGCACTGGGGCCGGCGG